TTACTACTACTATTACTACTACTATTACTACTACTCCAGGCCCGCACACGGCCCGCCGCTCTTGCGCGGCGGATCCTGAAGGGCCCCCGTCGTTGACTTATTTGACCCTTCCTTATGACCCCTGGCCCAGCCCCGCCGCGGAGGAGCCCCTGATCCTTTGATCCTCCACTCCCTTCCCTTTCACTCTGAGAGCCCCGCCCCGCCCTCTCTGTGTCCCACAGCGAGGAGCGAGGCGAGGCTCAATATCCGGTCCACTGGACGCCGCTGAACGGCCCGGGAAATATATGAAGTGGGCGGGGCATGGGCGTGTCGCACTATAAGGAAATGGGCCGGCTTTCGGATTCGCCCCCCGCGTCCGCCCAGATGGAGATACAGCTTAGAATTTCGGTGCTGCTGCTGCCTCCTGTCACTGCGCTGTTTCTCCCTCGCACTGCGCAGAAGTAGTAACTCGAACTGTCTCTCTGTGTTCCAGGTTTGTGCTGTCCGTCTGACGCTGTCCGTTAATGGACCCTACCGTCGTCGGCCGCGCACGGACGCCATTTCTATTCAGGTATTTTGCCGTCCGCGCCGCGTCCTCGCCCGGTAACGCACTGCCAAAAATGCTTGCAAGGAATGGGTTCGCATGCATACAAGTTTTCTTTACAGCTTGAAATGAATTTTGAGGCATTTTAATACGAACTGGTTCTTCGCAAGCTTGCAATCCATTTCTTTGCCATGCAAACCCATTGTTGCGAGGACGCTGACGGCTTTCAAATAATTTCTTTGCAATACGAAGTAATTCTCCGCAACGTTTCTAAGACTATAGTTTGCAAACATTTTACAGTGCGGCCCGCTATTATTCACCGTAACCGGGACAGACCCGGCTTCGGCTACGCCACTCTACAGTCGATCAGCCATCGCAAAATTAGAATGTCGATGCTACTGGCTGCGGGTCCATTCCGTTACGGCAAGCGGGTAGAGGCTCGTGTCGAACACGATCAGCGGGCCAAGCCAAGCGCACTTTTCCGAACGCCCTCTACTCATCCCGATGCCCTCTTTCTTTTCTACCACATCTCTCTCTCTCTCTCTC